CAGCACTATCTCATTTTAGGGGGGATGAAAGTGTGGTCTAGAGAGGCTAAGTAACGAGTTACGTGAATGGCAATGCCCATATTGTACTCACTACACTATACTCTCTCTTCTGTTACTGACTCTACACCCTGAGAAGAGAAGGTCTTGGAGAGAGAGGTTGCAATTGTGTCACTGTGCAGAGGAGGATCTTAAAGGAAGACTTCCCTAACGGGTACCAGTAAATGGCCGTTTCCTGCATTCAGAGATGAAGTCTCCTTCCCTAAAGAAGGAAGAAAGTAAGCAAGAGTGGGAAGGTACCAGCTGAGCAGAGAAGCAGCTTTTTGTAACTACCTTAACAGAAGTTTGCTTTTATAGTTATTGAGTGAAATAATATTTTGAAACTACCTAACAGGGTGTAGGCAAAGTATTAAAAAAGGAAAAAGATTAAAAGGCAAAGTTCATTCCTGGTAGCTAACATCCCCTTTCTGCACTCCAGTCTATAGTTCAGCATTTCCTGACTCCCAGGGATGTTGGTCTTTAAGATCTCTTCCAGTAATAATTCGATATTCCTGCATCATTCTCTCTGGCCGCTGGTGAATGGCCAGCGACCAAAGCCGATATTCACAATTGATGAAGGCTTGATGTGTTATTCAGTCAACAGAATATTCCCTCCCAGATAATAGTTTCCATTTAATTTAAACAAAGCCTTCATCCAAAGGCAGCAAAATTCACCACTGGTCCATGCAACTGGAAGACTGTCAAGACCTCTGACTACTGTATAAAAATGTTACACTACACTCCAAAAGGCGTGCAATCATCTTGTTTGAAAGATAGTGTAACCATGGCTTTCGGAGTGTCCCTCTCAAAGACTGGAAATCACGTCGGTCAAGAAGCAGGGTGGGGATGGGGTGATGCAAATTTCAGAATGAATGTGGGCTTTTCATGTTGTTAAAAGTCATTGCTATCATTATTTTGTTCCATAAAGCTGATTGCATGTATAACCCAGGGTAAAAATTCAACAAATATTTATTGAGTCAATTAATCTATTATTCATATCTGTTCTAACTACTGCTTATTTTCATAAATAATTTAGATTACTACATAAATTAACTGAACATTTAACTGAACAAGTAACTGAAGATCTTACGAGTGAACATGCCCACTATGGGCTTATGCAAATAACATGATTACATAAAATTCAGATTTCAATAAACTAAATGTCAATATACTTGCGATAAGATCAGAGAGAAATATGCATTATTATACTAACCTTGGTTCTCCTTTAAATGCAAAAGTATACCCTTGAACAGTGAAATGAGACTGGGGGAAAATGATTTAACAGCATCTTCTCTACAGAGAAAATTTTTAAAATTATGTCAAAATTAGATGAGCATTTTTTTAACAGAGTATTTCTTTAAAGAAAAGGAATTAGACAATTTCAATTCTTCATTTCCCCTTTGGTTTATCTTGCCTGTTTAAGACCTGTAACGATTAGAGCCACAGGGAAACAGTTCTCTTTTCAGAGTTCAGCAAGCACCAGGCACAGTGGGCTCCCTAGGATCCAAACTGGTGGTTCTTAAATTTGTTGCATTGAAATCATTGAGGTTACAATGTACTAATTGCTTTGATTTAACACAGTCTGCAGACTGGCTCCTGCTCAAAATGTTTCCAAATCAAAAAAAGGGAAACATATATCCTCTAACAATACCTCTTTCTGCTAATAAGAATTCGAGTTTTGCAAAGCTGACTCACAGGAAGACATGAATTTTCCCCAAGGACATATGCATCTTCTCAGAGTTTTTCCAGGCACAGTTTAACAATGGTGAACAATTCTGCTGTGCGTTTCTGGAAGCAAGTCCCATGCAATATCTATCCTGTAACTGTCTTGTTATGGTGACTGTCACGATAAATTTGGACAAGGATACAGTTGGTTTTTCATTTGTTTCTCATTTTTGTTTTGCTTTTTTCTTTGGAGTTTTGTTCTGTGATATCTGAAAAGGTTTTCTGAAGAGGATTTTATGGGTTTCTTGTCACTGGAGAGTAAAATAGATGGACTTTACCTGGCACTGGTGCAGGACACAGGCTTCAGCAGGGCTCTGCCATTTGAAGGAGCTGTTATAGGTACTTCCTTCATAGGTACAACCTAGACGAAACACAGAAGCAGGAAGAAAGGCCAAGAATGAATGTGGGTTTCCTTTATCTTTGAAGCAAAAGAAGTTATGTCTTCTAAGCCAGAGCTAGCAATCATAGGAACCACCATGCTCCTTGGCTATTTTCCTCCAAACACAACTAAGACTGCTGAATATCCACCTAGCTTTCGCTTACATTAATTCTTTGACTACTGAAAAGATTAACCTCACAGACTATATTTTCAAATGGAAAACCACCGATTGATGAACTCTCTTGGCCAAAATGCATAACCTCGTGACTTTATTTATGCCTAGTCAAGTATGAGGAGGACCAGGGCTCAAAACACCACTGTGAAAGGGGACTTCACACAAGACTACATGAACTTAAGATTGCTGAAGGTCAAGAGGGAAATGTAAAACATGGTAAGAAATAAAAGCAAAATATTAAAATATAGCAAATGATTGCAAAATTCTATACCCATCTAAGACTCCTGACAAGCTACTGTCCTCAACAGATGAAACCTTCCAAGCTTTGCCTCCAAGCTCTAAGAGTTATGATTTCATATTTCACTTTGATTTTACTTTTAGGTATGAACTAGATTAAGGAAATCTGAAACTAACAATATATGGATTATCACATGTTAATTCACTAACCAAAACAGAAATCATGCTTATTCATTGGCAAAAACAGAAGTCAAAGGCCAGAGATTCTCAAAAAGGAAACAAGTTTAAGTCTCTGTAGAAAGAGCCAAAGAAATAATGATGCAAGGATCACAACCTAGATCTTGAATTAGTTTGCCCAAATAACACCCTCCACCTTGTGAGTTACATTTTCGGGGAAGATGCACCTGGCTATGCCACTAGTAACTGCACAATAGATTATTAGGAGCATACCAGGCAAACGGGATTTACCAATTATAGCCCAACTGCTTAGCCCAAAGAGTACAGCAGCAGGAACACACACATGGGATAATGCAGAAATAAAAGGGCCTGCCCCTCTGTACCAGTGATTGACTTCTGCCAAGCCAATCAACCTCAATTCACATCAGTTTTTCTTGTCCGAGATACAAAGAGGGGACTCACCTCCTTCTCTGAATTCTTTTAGATAACTGCAGTGGTAATAAAAAAACAAAACAAAACAAAACAAAACAACAACCTCAATACAAACAGAAAAATAAAGGACTTAAGATTTCAATAGATGTTTTCATAAACTTGGAACCATGATTTGAATTCCCAGAGAATTATGAATGACTGAAAAGAGCTCAGTAACACTCTTCTCTCTAGTTCCTACAAATCAAATTACTAAAGTACACAGCTGATTGGAACCATATTAGGGAAATGCTTTCACTCTATATTTTTTAATTTCCTTTGCATGAAGTGTTACAGCGATAAAATGTTCAACCACAGGAATGC